GAGTTGCACTTGGATGCTTTAGCACACCCTACACGTTCTGATAGATAGGCGATCGCATATTTTGAAATCAAATGACACTGTCTCTGCTCTTTACATCGGCGTATCTTGTGCGCAAAGAATAGCCAATTGGTGATCAGTGCTACGTTTGCCTTACACTAGGTGAAACGCCATTGGCTGAGTTTGACATTGCAGGTTGGTTGGTCAGTGTCCGTCCCGAACATCGGTTAACCACCAAGTGAGTAAGTATCAGGAACTGCGACATTGCATGGTCAGAAACAACCTTGTTACGCATACGGTTAATTTGGGTTTTCCAAAGAGTGAGAACATATTGGAAAATACGAGTTGTCAGGAGTGCGAAATAGCAGGAGATTGACTGTACTTGTGATTAGTGGTGTGGGATACATGATACTGACTAATTAGAACCGACCATTTTTCAGATTTCACCTTCGGGCGCCTTTCTGGACTAAGTAAGTGTGGGTTGAATGTGAAATTTTAGCTGTTGAGAAAATTGAGTCATTCAAGAGAAGAAAGTTCACATTTGAATTCTTTCCATTGCTGTCGTGAAGAAGGTAACCTGCCATTTACCCTCTACTATAAGAGAAAAAATGTGATTGGTAAGTGCATCATCATCTGAAACGCCTCTCCCGTTTTTAGTGCCTCATTTTCGTGAAGGAACTCTGGAAAACGGATGATAAAGCGTATGGTCCCTTATATTGTGACAGATGATCATACATTGGTTTTAATCCTATTGACCATGCCGACTTTTGATTTTTGGAACAAATTAAGAACTTTCGTCAAATATTTTGAGGGAAGAACAACTTGTCCATAAGTATAACCGCTAATGGGAGCAATGTTCAATGAACAATGTACAAATAGGACACTGGCACTTCACAAGCACTGACGATGTCAGCTCGGCTGGTGATCAAACGTTTGTAACGAGATTGATAAGCTTGGCAAACAGGCGTAATAGACAGTAGTTACGCAACATAGGTCCCCATGAAATCAGTTAAGAGATCCGGTGTTCTTTGTATCACTGCATGAATTCTCCATGGTAGATTTGTATAAATGTCTTGCTTCTTAATGAAAATATGTCAAAATGACTTCTTATTTCATAAACAAATACACGGACCGATTTTACTTGTCTCTTTTGCCTAACAGCCATTTCCTCAAACATGCTTACTGAAATGGAACCGTACATTTTTCAGGAGAATCGCATTTCTTTTCAAATCCACTCGGTAGTTGTTGATGCAGAGCCGGAAAAATTAGCAAAACCAAGGGTTTCCATAACAATAGGTTTGTTCATGTGGAAACTAGCTGGACAGTTACCATCTTTTTAATTATTTCTTGTCCTGTATCTGTTCTGTAGACTTCATCTCATTTTTATAGCTACCAAAGAATGGGGTGACAAATAAATCCTCTCTCCTTATTTGCTTTTATATGCTCGCAGCTGAGAACATCTGTTACTTTGTGGATGGATAAAACCAATCAGTGGTTGTGCAGCATTAACAAACTTTGGTTACTACAAACCCCTTCGAATAAAGGAAATTTCAGAGTATAACCCAAAATAAAAATTTATTGTTATTCTAAGTAGATCTACCGGTGAGTTATCTAATTGCATTGTATTTGAAAAATGTCAGTCTTATTTCGACTGCATATCAAAATTGCTTACATTCAGGACTGGTAAAAACGCCAAAACTTATGATATACACGCCGTGACCATAGTATCGCATCTCTAGATTGTTGGATTATCTCTGCTCCTACACGTACAATCATCATCATTTCTGAATGAAAAGCCGAAATAAGAACTTATATCAAGAATATTTTGAATTTTCAAGAAAATATGTGGATAAAAACGATGTTTCATCGCGACAAAGTGCTGCACCCCGATGGACTTTAACCACTGAAGCTGCTTTAATTTTACCACATACGATTTCAAATCATGTCCGTGTGTTTATTATTCCTCTGCCTAATCAACACATTTGTGATGTGCACTTTGGAGTGTTGATGAACTCTTTTGGGTAAGAACAGTCGAAATGTTTTCTTTGGGGTTCAAATCTGGGCTGTGCCAAGGCCACACCATTGTTTTTATGGTGTGAAATAATAACCAGCATTATTTTGATAGGAGCAATCAACGACTGTAACATCGTGATCGAAAACTGCTTCACCATGTCCAATCGATGCAATTGGCAACACAAGGGGCCATCTCAAAGTATCAGTATTGACATTAAATATGAACGAGTAACCGGCCTGTTTCAATAAGCGTTTAAAATAGTCAGATACTAGTGAATTTATTGTTCTGAATGTTGACACTTTTAGCTGAGAGTGCTAAGGAATCATTGAAGAACAATAATTATCACTTTGTTCGATAATTGAAATTGACAAGGCTCATCTTTATCTGTCTTTTTCATCTCGTATTCAGCTAATCCAGCATCAGTTCTTCAAGGAGGGTATGGCACTTAACATGCATTTATAGAGCCTTGAAAGTAGAGATAACTCGGACGTTGAGGATTAGGACACAAAGGAACGTTTTGTATATTCGCAACCTACCCGTTCGTCCGTAATCTTCTTCATCAGTTATTTTTGATGAAGATTATTTCAGGGAGAACGAATGAATTGATATCTGATCGGTAGTTAACTGTGATTCAAGGATTGATCTCACCAACTGCAAAAATCTGTGGCTAATAACCAAGATCAATTAAATTAACTTCAATGCTGAAATTAGAAACGTCATTATTATTTATAGGCTAATGTGTAGCTGGTTTCACAATTGGTGTGTAACAGAATTATGCTGTTCAGTTATGGACAGGGGCAACAGAAGTCCTGGGGTTTGAGTTATAAAACCTACCACGCTACCACGCTGGCTATACGTAATTTCCATCTATCGATCTCGACGAGTTCTTTCTATGGGGTTAACTTCAAGTGGTAATGTAAAGCTGCAGAACAGTTTCCCTCAAAGTTATGATGAACGCGTTTGATGCAAAGTAATAGGGAATTTTTTTCCCGTCCCGATAAACATGTAGGAAACGAAGATCACATAGATACCAGAAATAATTGAAAACTACTTGTGGCAAGAATGGCATTCTCGAGTCTCTCGAGGGAGTTTGTTCTTCAGCAATGAGCCGGCTTTTTCAACTAATCCTCAAACATCCTGGGCTACTGGATAAAAGACCGTTGACCAATCCACTGAATTGGAAATGTTTCGTCAAATGTTTCTTAGAGCCAACGGCCACAAATCATCGCCTCATTGTCGAATATCAGCATTTATCGTAAATACTTCACTATTGAAAACAGGCAACAAAGTATATAACAGAGATAAAAGATTTTTTAAGTTTTACTTGATTTATACTTAGCGTGTCATGTCTTTCTGTCTATTTATCTATTTATCTATCTATCTATCTATCTATCTATCTATCTATCTCTCTATTTACCAATCAATCAATTAACCAATCAATCAATCAATCAATCAATCAATCAATCAATCAATCAATCAATCAATCATATCTATCTATCTATCTATCTATCTATCTATCTATCTATCTATCAATTTATCTATCCGTGTCTATCTATATATCTACCTATCTATCTGTCGATCTACCTATCTGTCTATTTATCTATGGTCCATCGATTGTTTATCTATCTATATATCTATGCATATTTCTGTCTATCTATGCTATAATATCTATCTATCTATCTATCTATCTATCTATCTATCTATCT